ACTGCCTCGGAAACCCAAGGAGGGGTCGCTATGAGTCGGGGCCGACTCGACGGCACATAACAACAACAACAACAACAAGAATTGGGTAAAAGGAAGTTAAACATATAACAGCAGATCACTTCTTCCTTCATGTGTTCATTTAGTAAATGTTTATTAAGCACCTACTATGTGCCACATGGCAAAGACAGAAAAAAAGCCCCTGCTCTCATGGAGCTTACATCCTGGTGAGCGAGGCACAGGATACGCAGATAAATAATAAAAATCTGAGAACATGAAGCGGTAGAGGGAAACCTGCCACAGAAGTAAACGCACGATCTTAATGGCTTTCATTATTACAGGGAAAATAAATTGAACTAAGTATTCAGTTGAAATGATGAAACAGTTCTTTAAGAAAAAGTTCAGGGTCTGGTCATGGCAGAGTAGCTTATACCTGACTGACCCTTCCACGGCTGACCTTCAGAACGCTGTACAAAGTAGTTTAAAGATCCTTTGAAGGCCCTGGGGAGTGAGCAACAGCAGCAGAAACTGGCGGGGATTTGCTCCTCAAGAGGAGGGAAGTCCAGTAGATGGGATCCATGCTTATGTGGCTTTTCCCTGAGAGTTACCTAGTCCACAGACCACAGACTGCTTAGAACTCAAGCCGAAATCTGCAGTCTTTTAGGTTGAGGTGCCAGAAAGACGAATGTAGGCTGCCACTGCATTTGAAAATTGAGGAGGGGGCGGGGAATTCCGGAGGTGAAAGAGCACAGAGGGGAAGCCCCAAGTTATGTATATCAACTCTTGTAAAATTTCTGGCTGACCACTGAGCTCACGTGAATGGGGGACTCTCAGAAACCTGGCAGAAAGCAATGCTACAGGCTGAGAAAACTGAGCAGAAATTTTATCTGCTGCCCACTTCAAACAACAATCAACTGCCTGCTTGAACAAAAATCAATTTTTTTAAAAAAATTATGATTTAGGTAAAGGTGTACAGAGCAAATTCACTTTCCATCCAGCAGTTCACATACACTTTGTCTCATGACATTAACTACAACCCCCATGCAACAGCTTCCCTCCCACTTCTTCCCGATAGTTATCTTTTCCCTGTGTCCTTCCCTCCATGCTCTGCTGCCCCCTGAGCTGTCTCTCTGTGCGTAAACAGCCCTTCTTTCTCCCAGGATTGTTCTCTCCAAGGAGTGTATCTACCTCAGGTAAATGTTCAACTCATATTCCTGTCTTTAGTTTGGCTGGCAGCCACAGGTGTGGGTTCAGCTCCAGACCTGAAGGGCAGCTAGGGGCCATAGTCTCAGTGGTTCTAACAGGCTCTATCAGACCAGCAAACCTGATCCCCCCTCGCCCTCCTTTTTTTTCCAAATGAAAAATCAACAATTTTAAGAAGAAGATCCAGAATCCAGCATCGCTATAGTATATCATCCATATGTTTATTATATAATTACAAGTTATGCAGATAAACAGGAAAACTTGCTCCACCATCAAAAGAAAAAGTGGTCAATAGAAACAGATCCTGAGATGGTTCAGATATTAGAATTAGCTGCAAGGAATTTAAAGCAGCTGTCTCAACACAGAAATAGAAACTATAAAAAAGAACCAAATGAAAAGTCTAGAACTGAAAAGTCCATTATAGGGCATGGAAACTGCCTGGTGTAGATGCTAAAGAGAAGAAAGTGTCAGTGAAGTCAAAGATCATCGATAGGAACTCTCCAGGTGAACAACAGAAGCTCAGAAAAAAGTGTCAGTCAACTCGAACATCATCACTAGGAATTACCCAAGGTGAACAACAGAACCTCAGAAACCTCAGAGGCAGTATCAGAGGTAGTCTACTATATATTTCATTGGGGTCTCAGAGAGGAGGGAAAAAGCTGGGTGGAAAAATCTTAGAAGAAATAAGGATCAGAATTTTCCATATTTTGTGACAAAAATCAATGTACACATCCAGGAAGATTGACCCTAAAAGGGGATAAGTACAAAGAAAACCTCAGCAGTGCTGAACAGGCTTTGGCAGAGCTTCCAGATGAAGACAGACCCAGAAGAAAGGCCTGGTAACCTGCTTCTGAAAAATCAGCCAGTGAAATCCCTACGGATCACAGTGGCCCTGTCCCATTGTATGGGGTCACCGTGAGTTGGAGGCTGACTTAGTGGCACCTAATAGCAGCAGCAACAATGGTGCTATGTATAGAGAAGTCCAGAGACAATTTTCAGAATTCAGGAGCTTATAATATTAGGGTGACATGTTAGGCACCCTGATTCCCAGCTTTGTGTGTGTGTGTATTTTTTTTAAAATGAAGCCTTATTTTTGTAAGCAACATTTTTTTTCTATTATTAAAGCAGCATATTAAAAAAGAACCTGGTAAATGCAAAAAAAAAAAAGGAAAGAAAAAAGTCACGACCACTTTTGTAAGTTTGGTCTTCTTCTTGTTAATAAAAAACTCTCCCTCAGATTTCTCCCCCTCTAGATACTGACTGGGAAAGGGTACAAGTGAGCCGCCCAGGTGCTGGAAGTCTTGGTGTAGGTTCTTGATGTACCTTCTATGTCTTGATATAAGTGGTGAGTACAGGTGTGTTCCTGTAGAAGAGTTAAATTGTACTCTTATGACCTAAACTGTTTATATTTTTATATGTAAAGAAAGTGTTAAGCTATTGTAATCATTGTAGTTCGATTTATTTTAACTAGTAAATTGAAAAAAATGTTTGTCCCTTCAGAGTTGGTGCTGGACTGCTTGCCCAGTTCTTAAATGGCCCTGCACTGAAGATGTGCTCTCACTTCTTTATTTCTCTCCTGCTTTAGAAACACATATCGCATGATTGAACAGGATGATTTTGACATTAACACAAGGCTCCACACGATTGTTCGGGGGGAAGATGAGGCAGCCATGGTGGAGTCAGTAGGTCTGGCCCTGGTGAAGCTACCAGATGTCCTTAATCGCCTGAAGCCTGACATCATGATTGTTCATGGAGACAGGTTTGACGCCCTGGCTCTGGCTACATCTGCTGCTCTGATGAACATCCGGATCCTTCACATTGAAGGGGGGGAAGTGAGCGGGACCATCGACGACTCTATCAGACACGCCATAACAAAGCTGGCTCACTACCACGTGTGCTGCACCCGGAGCGCAGAGCAGCACCTGATCTCCATGTGTGAGGATCACGACCGCATCCTTCTGGCAGGCTGTCCTTCCTACGACAAACTGCTCTCAGCCAAAAACAAGGACTACATGAGCATCATTCGGATGTGGTTAGGTATGTGTCAGTGTTTCGTCTAATGGTTTTTTGTCAGAAAACGCTGGCTATATTGCAATCCTTTGGGATATTGTTGTGGACAGAATATTCTAGTAGCAATCAGAAGACTGAAGTTTTAGTTCCCATCTCTTGTCCTGTGGTATAACTTGACTTCTCTTGAGACTCATTACTTTTTTTGTAAAATGGTATACTAGATTGATTTTTAAAATTCTTTTTAGGTGCTGTGAGTCAGTTTTGACTCACAGTGACCCTGTGTACAGCAGAATGAAACTGCCCGGTCTCGTGCCATCCTCACAATCATTGCCGTGCGTAGGTCCTTCGTCGCAGCCACTGTGTCAATGCATCTCGTTGAGGGTCTTCCCCTTTGCTGACCCTCTCCTTTACCTAGCATGATATCCTTCTCCAGGGACTGGTCCCTTCTGACACCATGAACAAAGTCTGAGAGACAAAGTCTGGCCATACTCACTTCTAATGAGAATTCTAGATGTACATCCTCCAGGAAAGATCTGTCTGTTCTTCTGCCAGTCCACGGTACATTCAGCATTCTTCACCAACACCACAACTCAAATGCATCAGTTCTTCTTTGGTCTTCCTTATTGGTTGTCCAGCTCTCACACGCATATGAGGCGATTGCAAATACCAGGGCTTGGGGTCAGGTGCACCTTAGTCTTCAAAGTGCTATCGTTACACTTGACCACTTTAAAGAGGTCTTTTGCAGCAGATTTGCCCAATGCAATATGTCATTTTATTTCTTGACTGCTGCTTCCATAGGCATTGATTATTGATACAAGTAAAATGAAATCCTTAACAATATCAATCTTTTCTCCATTTGTCATGATGTTGCTTTTTGGTCCAGTTGTGAGGATTTCTGTTTTCTTTATGTTGAGGTGTAATCCATACTGAAGGCTGTAGTTTTTGATCTTCATCAATAAGTGCTTCAAGTAAAAACTGTAATGTGATGGAAGTGTTAAGAAATATGTACTCCAGGTCATTTATAATAGTTATTTCTGGTTTGTGGGATTATGGTATTTTTCACTACTATAAAAAATTACAATGCTTCAATGTAATGACTGTGTCAGGGGGTTGTTGGAATACTCTGCTGAGATGGTGAGTATGAGAGCGGGTAGTGAACCGTGAGTACGCATCAGAGTGAGGGATTATGATGGTTACTGAACAGCAAAAGTCACAGTCACACCAAATGTTAGAGTTCACTGTGTCTGAATCAAGTCTGAGGTCTGAAATCGGCAGACTGTAGGTCCCTGGAAATTACCTTTTGTTAATCAGAAGTAAGGAAAACAGATTTACAAACCGGAACGCTGATGGACTACCTAGGAGGAGAATCTGAATCAACTACCTGTTTAGGACCCCATTTTCTAGGAAGTAGATCTAATGAATCATGAAATTAATGAATGAAAAGTGATGTGGTGATAGTGTCATCAGAGTGATTGCATGCATTCTTAATCCAGGTCACAGTGGGACAGGAGGGGCTGGGCTTTCCTACTGTGTAAATTAACCCACTCTGTGTACTTTTTATCCTTGGACAGGTATGTAGTTACCAGGGAACTGATCTAGATGATGCTGGTGGAACAAACATTTGGTCTCTTGAGTCTCTCCTTTTTGTATCCTAAGTAAACACTCTTGGATTCTGTTTGGATTATAATGTTAGCTGTGTTTGTATTCTGAAAAATCTTGTGCATCTGAAAAATGGGGGGTGGTGAATAGAAAATAACCCTTACAAACAAGAAGGCAGCAGGCTTGCAGCTGAGTTCAGGGTCCTCGCTGGGACTTTCTCAACAGTTTCTTCATCAAAAGAATGATGACAGAACAGCCCAAACGGGATTGTTTCTTTTTTTTAAACCAGTGAGAAAGAAGACAAGCCCAGGAACCAGAGCCATCCACTCTGGGCCATAGTTCAGTGGTTCATTTTATGAAAAGTCCACACCTGCTTCTCCACCTGCAGCTTCTGATGTTATCGCTCTGCTTATAAGGAAAACAGACTGAGCAGGCCACTCAGAACATGCAGCTTGATAGCTGGAACATTAAACAATAACCAGCCTAATAAAAACGTTAACAAAATTAAAAATACACGTGGAGTTCCTAATAATGAAGGAAATACCCCTGTAAATAGAGGACTGTTACGGCATGAAACAGTCACGGTGCCGTGATGGAAAGGGCTGTGCTAAGTTACGGGCAGAGTGCGAGGTCGCCGGTCGGGAAGCAGGTGCAGGTGTTGTACAGTGTCATCTGGCTAGGAGTGCGTGGCTGTGCGTCATTAGCGTGTCGTCTTCAGTGGTTTAAAAAGACTTCTAGGTTTGGCCGCTTTGCTGTCCTCCTTTCATAAAGAAACTGCTCAAATGTCTCCACATTTAAGGACCTTAAGTTACAAAGTTCAGTCCCCTGCAGTCTGCATTAAAAGGTTAGTTGCTGTCCACTACAGATGCTTCCTAATCACACTTCCAAGTAGAAGATAAATGAGATGTGGGAAGCTGTCCTGTAGTAACTGCTGGAAATTTCCTTCCTCGTCACCTTTCACTTGTCCCTTAGCAGTGACTTCTTGTACCTCTTGTGTAGAAGGGTCCCGGGCATAGGACCGTAACATTTTCCCGTGAAAGAAACCCGTCCCAGCCAGTGCACAAAGATCAGAGCGACTCGCCCTGTAAGTGCTTTCAAGACAGCACCTGGGCTCACTGAGCCCAGAGGGGCTGAGACGGCCCACGCGGGGGCTGTATTGCTCCCAGCTCACGCCGTACATTGACAACTAGGGTTCCTCGCTTCCCACTGTGGGGAATCACGGGGCTAACTTGACGACTGTTTCCCAGTCAGGGATGAGCCAGTTCACGTTACAGAAACGAGCACTGTAGTGGAACCAACTTGGACCTGTGCTCAGATGACCGCCTCTGCACGGTGTCTCTGTGTCTGTCCCAGCGAGGAGACTTCTGTTGCCACTGCCCCGTCCAGTGTTTAGTTCTCTTTCCACTAGTTCTTTCTCGTGGCCCTACGGCCCTCATCTGTAGCCAGTAGATCACCGCATTTCCCTTGATCACGTCCTTCTAGACTCTGCCAACTGTAATTACTGTAATTAGAGATGGTGTTTTGCTTTTGATCTTTGAACCGCTCATGGTTTATCAAGTTTCTGACAGACTGATTCAGGCCTTTAGCCTTTTTTCTTTGTGAAAAAATTTAATAATTACATATGTTCCTCAGTTCAGAACCTAATATGGGACCAGTACTTTTTGTTAATAAAATTTGGAACCAATACAGTCTTTTAAATCAAATTCTACTGGAGATTCTAACTTAAATCAGAATCCTCTGTTACTAACAAATCATAAAAAGTAACTGCTGCTGGTTGAATTTAGAAATTGATGATGAACTAGATGTAGTTAATGATAAAATTGTTCATGAAAAGGAAGAGGACAGGGAAAGAGTCCTTTTACTGAAAAGAAGCTCTGCTTTAGGCCCTGTTGGTAAGTGTGTGGTGTCTGGCATTCATTGTCCACACGAACCGTTTACGCTTTGGGTTGTTGCTGGGGAACTGTCCTTCGGTCCCAGCCTGCAGATGAATGAAGTCTTTCTGGTCCTTGGGCAGAGGCCTGCCTTGGTTGAATCTGGCAGGAAGCCCCTCTGCGCTGTGTCACGTGCTCAGTGCTCCTTCACACAGCAGACGCTCTGATGGCCGCAGAGTACTCCCCCTGAACGTTGCTGGTTCTTCAGGGAGCAGCTGGGGAACTGGGGGGGAGAACTGGGGGCGATTCCCAGTCTTCTAATGCTTTGGAATACTTTGCATTTTAAAACGTCAGGAATGTCTAGTGCTTGCTGTTTGAGGTTATATTTCATGTTGGCGCTAGCAAGCACCTTTGCAAAACGTTAAATTTACTGTATCCTTGGGCTTGTTGCTATGAATTCTCATCATTTGATTCTAATTTGGATGCCCTGCTTGGAACGTCACAGACAGATTGGCCTTAGAGTTTTTAAAGCACAGGCTGTGGGGTTTTAGATTTGCTGCTTCCTCCCTCAGTGTCCTGACTAACGAAGCGTGTGGTTTGCTTTTCTTTAAACAGGTGATGATGTAAAGCCTAAAGATTACATTGTTGCACTCCAGCACCCTGTGACCACTGATATTAAGCATTCCATAAAAATGTTTGAGCTAACACTGGATGCCCTTATCTCATTTAACAAGCGGACCCTAGTCCTGTTTCCAAATATTGATGCAGGTAATTGAGCTTGACAATGAGATCATGTCACCTGCCTTTTCAGATCTGTTTCTGTTATGCCTTCTTCGGCTGTTTCTTCCCATTTTTCTCATCACTTAAAACCAAAGAGTCACCAATTCTGTTACAGGTTGACACGTCTGATATTTCTGTAAAGTCTAATGAAAGCTTAATAGGAAAAAATAAGCACTAAAAAAGAAAAGAAAAATCTCTCTAACCTCCACTTTAACCAAGACATAAGCCTTAAAATGCAGCCACGTCTCTAGGAAGGTGATGAACCTGTGGGCCGCTGTGAGATCATTTCCTGCCCTCTCCCTTAGTCATACGGCGCTCTGGTGGTGCAAAGGGTAAGGCATTGGGCTGCTAACCAGAAGGTTGGCGGTTTAGCCCACCAGCTACTCCGTGGGAAGATGAAGCTGTCTACTTCCATAAAGGCTGTCATCCTTGGAAACCCAATGGGAATGGACGCAGTGGAGTGGGTTGGGTTGGGTTTTAGTTTCTTACTTATGTTAGCTGTATCTTAAAGTCATCTTGAGCTTCAGTCGTTTAGATCTGGGTCCCTAACCAGTGGCTCTTCAAACCTGACCTGGTTGATCACCACTGGGGGCTAACACAGTAGCTTTTAGTGCTAGTGAGGCCTTGGGCAAGTGAATGGGGGTGTGAAGTACAAGTGAGAAATGGCAGAGCAGGCCTGACACCCAGGAGTTTGAAATGCGAATCCCTGGCAGTTGACATCAGCCACTATGGAGCTCTTAGGCTTTCTTCTTTTTAGCAAAGGAGGCAGGTCTCTTCCCTGCAGTGCTAAGATGTTCTCATCTTACTGAGAAAGAATTCTGCTTAGAGTGTCCCTTGAACAATCGTTTTGGTTAGACGCAGCAAGGCAGAGTGTTGACCAGACCAAACTCACTGCCATCAAGTCAGTGAGTCACTCGACTCACAGTGCCCCTCCTTGGGTTTCTGAGGCGGTATCACTACGGAAGTAGATTGCCCAGTCTTCCTTCTGAGTTTTGCCTGGTGGGTTTGAACTGCCAGCCTTCTGGTTAGCAGTCAGATGCCTTAGGCACTACACCAGATGTTAAGAACTCCTAACCCAGATTTCTCCCTGGGTGATGCAAACAGTTAACACGCTTGGCTGCTAACTGGGAGGTGGGAGGTTCAGGTCTGCCCAGAGGCACCGTGGACGAAGGGCCTGTGATGTTCTTCCAAGAATCCACCACTGAAAGCCCCGTAGAAGGGAGCACAGCTCCCCTCTGACACACGTGGGGCTGCCCTCAGCTGGGGTCAGTTCAACAGCACCTGGTAACTGACAGTCCTGACTTCATTCAGGGACTGTGGTAATATTCCAAAAATGGGAACATTGATTCTTCCTTGGTCCTTTGACTTCTTAGGTGAGTAGTTGTGAAGTCATTGTGTATGTCTCTTGCATTCATTGTCAATGATATCTGTTTGTAATATACTTTCCTGACGGTAGACACTTTAGAATCCTTTAGAGAGATTTCTGTCCCGTGGAAACTGGTAAAGGACCGCAGGATCACCTAAATCACGTCTGCCACTCGCCCCTTCTCCCTACGCTGCGGGCAGCAGGGAAGCAAGAATCAAAGCGTTGCTGTCTTGTTACGCGGCTCAGCGCCCGGGCCCCAGTGCAGCACTCTGCAGAAACCTGGATTAGTGCATATGCAGTAGTTCAGGCTTCAAGGCAAAGAGGGGCCCAGATCTGAATCTGGGAAGAGTACCTCCTGGCCTGTCACCTGCCAGGTAACTAGGTGATGCCTGGTGTGCTCGGGCAAGCTCGGATACACAGGGAAATGGCGAGGCTGACTTCCAGAAGTCAGACTCTGAGGCTGTTTACCTCCCGTGCCTCAGAGAGGAAAGATTGCAAGTCAGAACGCATGCGTGTGCAGCATCTGTTACCTGGAGGGTCCTGTGCACACGAACGTAGTGTGCTGCTGTCAAGCCTCCCAGCTAATCAGACAGCAGCTTTTCCTCCCTGCTCGGGGGAGTGAGGGAAAGGGTGAATTTAAATATTGCTTCTCCCTCATACCCTGGAAGTTGGTTGTTTTTAATTATTGCATTTAAATTAACTTACCAACCAGTGTCAGAACCTGTCTGTATTTTCGTAAGAGGGCAGGCCACATCAGTGGGAGTGCAATCCAAAACCCGCTGCCATCGAGTCCCCTCCGCTCGTAGCTGCCCTATAGGGCAGAGCAGGACTGCCCCGTAGGGTCTCCGAGGCTGTCAGTCGGAAGCAGACTGCCTCATCTCAGCCCCCCGTGGAGTGGCTGGTGGGGTCAGGCTGCCTACCTCTGGTTAGCAGTCAAATGCTTCAACCCCGGTACCACCAGGCTTGCTTGGCGTGTTACCTGGTTGAGCTATCTCTGGTGAAAATGGGGGGCCGAGGCTCTGTGAGCACGGGTGGCAGGTAGCGTCTGAGTCTTTTCTGTTAGTCAGTCCTAGCTGAAGAGAAATGGCCTGTTTGAGCCTCGGCATTGTTACCTAAATGGTGTTAGTTACAGTCATGTGCTTTGCTCAGTCCTGCCTGCTGCTCTCTGGGTTCCTGGATGATGAGAGGCAGTGAGCTAGCCACAGCTCTGAGCGGCTCATAGTCACGAGCAGACCGTTTCCCCACAAGCAGGGCGAGTCGTTACGGGAGGATGCTTGCTAATGTCAACAGTCTCTTCCTCGCGGCCATTTAGCAGCTGGTTCTCTTCACTCCCACAGGGAGCAAAGAGATGGTGCGGGTGATGCGGAAGAAGGGCATCGAACATCACCCCAACTTCCGTGCGGTGAAACACGTACCGTTTGAGCAGTTCATCCAGCTGGTTGCCCACGCTGGCTGCATGATTGGGAACAGCAGCTGTGGGGTGCGAGAGGTTGGAGCTTTTGGAACCCCTGTGATCAACCTGGGGACACGTCAGATTGGGAGAGAAACAGGTATTACCTTTGCCCGTATTTCAGCTGACCAGTATGTACACATGCATATGAATGATTATAAGGCATGTATGCATCACTGCCAGGCATGTGTATTTATCACCAAGTGTGGGAATGAGGTTAATGGTCAATTGTAGCACTATGTAGTCTGCACACAGCACACAAGGGATTGGCCTGTGAGGGCTCTGCCTGCATTCTCTGCCTGCAGCATCTGCTAGCGCTAAGAGCTTAGTGACAGTCTTTGATGGCTGTGTTTCAGAATGTGGTTGGATGTATTAGGAGCAGATGAGTGCGGGCCTTTCATTTTCTGGCCTAGGACACACTCCCTTCAGTCAGTACTTTACAGTGAGGCAACTGGAATGTGCCTCCTAGTATCTAAATTATATGTAGCATTATTTATGAATGAGCTAGGTCCAGTTATTAACATTAGTCCAAGTTCTCATATCTCCATGCCAATATATGAGATTAGCGGTCTTTGTCATCTAGTGCTGCCAACAGACATAACCACAGGTGGAGAGCATAAACAAACACATTTATTTTCTCCCAGGTTAGGAGGCTGGAAGTCTGAATCGGAGCACCAGCTCTGAGGCAAAGCTTTCTGTCGCCGTCGGCTCTGGGGAGGCCTTGGTCTTTTCAGCTTCTGTTTTCTGTCCATCTTCTTGTGGTGTGGCATCTCTTCTCTGCTTGCTTCCTAAACTCTCTTACATCTCAAAAGAGATGGACTCAAGATACACCCTGCATTAATCCTGCCTCCTCATCACAACAAAGACACCATTCCCAAATGGGATTATAAACACAGGCGCAGAGGTTAGCATTTAAAACACACATTTCTTCTTGGGGACACAGTGTAGTCCGGAGCAGCAGCTAACAGAGAAAGTATGAACTTAATGGCGAACAGTGGGACTAGAACTAAGACGTCCCAGTGCTGCTCGTCCCCCCCTTCTTCCTAATTGCCACCCTGACTTTTTCATCCTGTAGACCTTCTCCCCACTCCAGCATATTACCTTGTTCCCCTCTTCACAGAGAAGAAAATAGATGCTCTCAGATGGAAATTCCTCCAACTTCATCAGTTTACTCATTAAGGAAATAGATAACGAGCACCTACTGTGGGCTGGGCACTGGAATTCGGCAGTAAACTAGACTCACAAGGCTGAGCTCTCAAGGAACTTACATTCCAGTGGGAGAGGAAATAGATGAAAACTAAGAAAAATACAGGATTCCTCTGTGCTGGGCAGACTAACACACATTCTTGTGACGGACAGGACAGTAGGTGGAGCGAACGAAGGTTCTTTAGGGGGTGACATTTCAGCTGAGCTCTCAGTGACAAGGAGTCAGCTCTGTGAGAACAGGGAGCAGCAGAGGGGACAGCCAGGTGGAGCCCTAGGATGAGAACAAGCTTGATCTGTTTAAGAACAGAAGGTCATTGTAACAGAAGGGGCATGAAGCTTGGTGGGCCAGAGGACAAGGGACGCAGGAGACATCAGAGAAGGGGGCAGGCCTTTGTCATCAGGTGAACAGTTTGGGGATTTTCTAAGGATGATGGGAAGCCACTGAGGGAGGGAAGACATGATCTGACTTGCATCTTGAAACAACCTCTGCTACTTGGAGAACAGAATGTGGTAGGGCAAGGGTGGAAGCAGAGAGACCAGTCACAGGGCCGTCTGGGCTCTTCAGTAAGAGATGGTGATGGTTTAGACGACACGGGGGTACTAGAAACGGAGAGCAGTTAGATTTGGGCTGTGTCATAGAGTTTGCTCAGACTTAGATGTGGAAGGTGAAAAGAAGAAGGAATTGACGATAACTCCTAGATTTTTGGATTGAACCCTAGGGGTGCTCTTTCCTCATATGGAAGACATTGAGGGAGGGACAGATTTTGGAAGGGGATGGAATTGAGAATCCTCTTATGGCCACTTTAAGTTCGAGACACCTATTAGTTACTACCAAAGTAGAAGTGGAAAGTAGGTAGCTGTTTAGTTCCAGGGAGACTCAGAGCTACAAATCCGAGAGCCGTTGGCATATAGCTGGTATATAATCAGGATATCAGGTCAGCTGCTGTAACAGTGGCTCTGCACCATAGCCTTCGCTGCCCTGAGATCAGAAAACCAGATGGTGCCTGGCCGCCATTGCGGCCCCTGCTAAGGGTCCCAGCAGAGGGCCCTGGACAGAGAGGGAGGAAAACGGCGGAGAACACATCATGACACATCATGAAAAGGACGGGGCTCACTGACCTGATGGGGACGGTGGCACTCCTGAGGCGGGCCATCAAGGACCCGTCAAGCCTGGAACTGAACCCACCCCTGAGGGCCAACTTTAACCAAACAATAGACAGGCCTATAAAGTGACCAGTAACACCAGGGGGCAATGTACTCCTCAGAGTGATCAACTGTATGCGACCAGAAGGGCAGCATTTGCCCAAAAACACAGCTCAGGAGGCAGGAAGGGACAGGAAAGAAGGACGAATGGGAACCCCAGGGAGGAAGTGGGAAGAGAGCTGGTACCTTGAGGGCATTGCAGCCGGTGTCATGAAACAAAATATGTCCAAATTACTGAATGGAAAACTAATTTGCTTGCAAGCTTTTACCCGAACTACAATAAAAAGTAAAAAAACAATTGTGGCTTAAATGACTCTCTCTCTCCCTGGTTAGCCTTCTGGAACTGACAGGGCGGCTCCACAATCGAGACTCCGTCTCCGTCTGTCGTGCTGGTGGTTGCCCCAGCTCCTCGCCAGTGGGGAGGAGGGGAGGGGAAGGGCCCTACCCTTTAAGGCTGAACTGGAAGTTACAAATCTTCTTTTCCGCATCCCATCAGAACTTAGTCACGTGGCCCCCTCTGGCTGCAAGGGAAGCTGGAGAACGCCGTCTGTAGCTGGGTGATCACGTGCCTGTGTAAAACGTCTGTTACTAGTTTCTACACTGAAATTCTGTTACTAACATATATAGTAAACTATGTTACTAGCAGGTATAGTAAATTCTGTTACTATATTTATAGTGAATTCTGTTACTAGTATAGAAATTTCAAGAGGTAGCATGGGATAGAACTAATAGTATTGAAAGAAGTTGAAGCTGCACTGAAGGAATTGGCAAAAAACAAGATTCCAGGAATTGGCAGAATACCCACGGAGACGTTTCAGCAAATGGACGCAGCGTTGGAAGCACTCATTTATGCCAAGAAATTTGGAAGACAGCTATCTGCCCAACTGACTGGAAGAGATCCATATTTGTGCCCAGTGCAAAGAAAGGTGATCCGACAGAATACAGGAATTATTGAACAATACATTAATATCACATGCAAGTAAAATTTTCCTGGAAATAATTTAAAAAGGATGCAGCAATATATTGACAGGGAACTTCCAGAAATGCAAGCCACATTCAGAAGAGGGCCTGGAACGAGGGATATCACTGCTGATGTCAGATGGATCTTGGCTGGAAGCAAAGAATACCAGAAAGATGTTTACCTGTGTTTCACTGTCTATGCAAAGGCAGTCGACTGTGTGGATCATAACAAATTGTGGATAACATTATGAAGAACAGGAATTCCAGAACACTTAATTGTGCTCATAAGGAACCTATACATAGAACAAGAGGCAATCATTCAAACAAAACAAGGGGATGCCGCATGGTTTAAGATCGGGAAATATACGTGTCAGGGCTGTATCCTTTCACCATATTTATTCAACCTGTATGCTAAGCAGTTCATCTGAGAAGCTGGACTATATGAAGAAGAATGTGGCATCAGGATTGGAGGAAGACTCACTAACGACCTGCAATATAAATATGACACAACCTTGCTCACTGAAAGTGAGGTAGACTTGAAGCACTTTGATGAAAATTGAAGACTGTGGTCTACAGTATGGATTACACTTCAATATAAAGAAAACAAAATTCCTCACAACCGGACCAATAAGCAGTACCACGATAAATGGAGAGAAGAGAGAAGTTGTAACAGGGTCCACAGTCAGCCCAGATGGGAGCAGCAGTCAAGAAGTCAGTCAATGTTATTGCGGTCAGGATATCTGCTGCCAGAGACCTCTTTAAAGTGCTGAAAAGCAAAGATGTCACTTTGAAGACTGAGGTGTGTCTAACCCAAGCTTGGTGTTTTCAGTTGCCTCGTATGCATGTTGAAAGCTGGACAATGAATAAGGAAGACCACAGAAGAATCCACGCATTTGAGTAGCAGTGCTGGTGAAGAGTACTGAATGTAATAAGGACTGCTAGAAGGACGAACCAATCTGTCCCGGAGGAAGTGCAGCTGGAACGCTTCCTAGAAGCGAGAATGGCCAGACTCTGTCTCACCTACTTTGGTCGTGTTGTCAGAAGGGACCGTTCCCTGGAGAAGGATGTCATGCTTGGTAAAGTGGAGGGTCAGCGAAAGAGGAGAGGCCCTCAACGAGACGGCTTGCCAGTGGCTGCAGCAATGGGCCGAGGCTGGTGCCCGACAGCACCTAACACCAAGTGTGGAGGAAGGAAACAGGACCAGTGCCACTCTCTGCCATACGTGGTACTTAAAACCAAGGGTTAAATGAGGTTACCATGGAGGACAGGTAAAAAGGCCCAAGAGAGTCTCCTCTGCTTCCTGCCAGCACGTCTGCATACGCTTCCGTGCTCAGTCATTGTCTCCTTCTTTACAGCAGAGCAGGGGCCTAGCTGCCCGCTGCTCATCCTTCTCCCTGTAGATCAGCCCCCCTCACTGCAGCCTGCGCAGGACCTCACTCTGCCAGTGGTCCTTCCTCGGCTGTGTATCTTTAGCCGCCTCCCTCATCATTGAAACACGTCCAGGCCGCTCCCATCTTAAAAACAAAACGACGCCTTCCTTGGCCTCTCTTCATTCCAGCTGTCACCCTTCTGCTCCCCTCTTGTTAGCCTACCCATCGACAAATACGGCTGTTTCCACGTATTGACCCCTTACCATCAGTTAGAAAGTGTATAGTTTGATGGGATGGAGAGGAAGTGACTGCCTGACCAGCTGACCAGCTAATGAACTGACGAGCCTTTCCTGTCCAGCTGACTGAATGGCTGGCTGATAGATGGGAGGCAGGTGTCAAAAACCTAAAATTAATATAATACCAAAAATTAGTGTAATAGAATAGGTTTATTGTGAGGAGATAAATTCAAATCAGGCAGTGCCACCTGAATATATAAGAAGGGCACTCCTAAGAGGGGAAAGTGCAAGTGGCTATGTTGTTGTTGTTACGTGCCGTGCCGTGGAGTCAGACCCAACTCATAGCAACCCCTCCTTGGGTTTCCAAGGCAACATCACTATGGAAGTGGCTATTAGGTCTTTGTTAATTTCCAAGAAAATAAGATCAAAGCACCAGCAGGGTTTCAGGTGGTGTAGTGCCTAAGGCATCTGACTGCTAACCAGAAGGCTGGCGGTTCAAACCCATCAGCACCTCCTAGGAAGGGAGGTTGGGCAATCTACTTCTGTAGTGATGCTGCCTTGGAAACCCAAGGAGGGGTTGCTATGGGTTGGATCCGACCCGATGGTAGTGAGTTTGGGTTTTTGGGTTTGGGTACAGAAACAGAATCGCCAGGGCCACACCAGCCCATCCTAAAACACAGCCACTGGCCAGACCCCGGGGCTGCTGCTGCGTGAAGCTGTGTGGAGGTGATTTTCCTGAAGAACCCAGTGCCCAAGGCAAAACACTGTCCACCGGGTGGCCTCCTAAGCTATCACTTGACCTGAACGTAACTCCAGGGAACCAGCCCTTCGAGGTTCAAAAGGCCACATGGCCTAAGTGGGTCACGCCAATTCCATAACCTGAGAATCTGGCTCCCAGAGGATCAAAATAGTTCTCTTTTGGAAGAATGCACTTGGTAGATGACTAGAAGAATTTTAAGCACAGAATGGATTAATCCACTTCCTGTGATAAACAGCGACAACTTGAGTTACTGTCTTTGGGAAGAAAGAGTTTCCGTGGCCTTAAGTATCTGTATTTAGAAATCTTGCCAGGAATGCTTTAAATTGTATAGAGTGAAAAGTTGATGTCTCATTAAAAGACCTACTTGCGAAGTCCTGTAGCTTCAGGAAGAATTATGGGCACAACACACTGCTAATTTTTGCATTCTTTGGCTGTCTCCACTTGCAATCCTCATGATGTGGCGCTGAACTGACCTAGGGGAGAATGTTCTTCATGTCCGGGACGCTGACACCCAAGACAAAATACTACAAGCCCTGCACCTGCAGTTTGGTAAACAGTACCCTTGGTGAGTATGGAACCCCTTCCGGGGGTGATTTTCAAGGGCAGGTGCCTCAGGCAGTTTGAAAGTTTGGTCACTGTTTAACCAGCCCACTGCAGCTCCCCCTCTACCTGCCGAGGACACGTCACTGCTGGTAGACAAGGCTTGCTGACCGGTCCCTGTTAGCTCTGCCAGGGTTCCAGTGTAGGATGGCTTTTTCCTTTTCTCGGCTCATTAATACAGCACTTTTGCTAGGAAATACTTTAGCCTAATTTGAATTGCTGTAAGTATTAGTAATATCACTGATTTTCTTTAAAAATAATCTAGCTCAGCATTTTAATTCATTCAAACTGCCCTACTCTCTACTGCACGTCAGTGAGATTTATCCTGTATTTGAATGTAATTTCTGAATGCCATTTTGTTTTCCCAGAAATGTAAAAAAAATAAACACTGTTGAGAACTGTTACATTCTTAAATTGGCTTTAACAAAGATAATGTTTCTTTGATGACAGAGGTATTCTGTTAACTGGTATCTCATGCTGGAAATGGGTATAATTCAGTCACTAGTGAAATTGGCCATTGTGTCTAGTATGTGGGTGCTTTGTTACTATGTTGCTGAGGAGTCCAGATGTTATTTTAAATTGAGGAAGCATGACTTATTTTTTATCTGAAGTTTCAGATTTCATTACTAGCAGGTTTCTAGTGTTATTTGACAAGTATGGTAGATGCATTTAATTGAACTGTTTGCATCTGTCAGTTCAAAGATCTATGGCGATGGGAATGCTGTTCCCAGGATTTTGAAATTTCTCAAATCTATTGATCTCCAAGAACCACTTCAGAAGAAATTCTGCTTTCCTCCTGTGAAGGAGAACATCTCTCAAGATATCGACCATATTCTCGAGACTCTCAGTGCCTTGGCTGTTGATCTGGGTGGGACAAACCTCCGAGTTGCAATAGTCAGCATGAAGGTAAAATAACCCCTCAGCTCTGAATGTTCAATCCGTGTGTGTAACTGAGTTTAAAAGCGTCGCTGGCAAGTAGGACTAGAAACACGTACAAGTGCTTGTAATCATTGGCCCAGGGACGACTTCTGGAGCCATTCTCATGTTCATCTCACCATTTTACTAACCATGAAAATTCCAAAGAAATGTTGGAGAATCCAAGGTGGCTGACCCATGTTGACAATGCAGAGGCCCCTTAGGCCCCAGGGAGGGCGTTTGCCACTCAGGAGGCCTGTAGTTCTGTACGGTAATGGCTGGGGCGTGGTGTGTGCTGGGTGCCGTAACTGCCCAGGGGAGGGTGTCTGCTGATGGGGAAGGGAATTGCGTGTCCCCCGGGACATGATCAGGTGTATAGTTCTCCATTTTGCATTTTTGTAATTCCGTTCCTTACTGAATCCAGTACACCTTAAATCTGTTAACCAGACCATCACCACAGTGCTGACAGAGGTTGAGAGGGCTTCATAAAATTCCAGATTGTCCACATTAAAATGATCTCGTGACTTAACCAGGGAGAAAAGCCTAACAGAAAAGGCTTTGTTTAAAATACTGTTAATGAATAAAGTTTCAGGAGTCCGAGAGGAATAATGAGTATCTGGTAATATAGTATCACTGGGTGAAATAGGAAAAAACAAGACAAAACAAGACTTTCTTAACAGAAGCTAGGTCTCCCTTGTAAATGCTCTTTACGAAGTACCACTAGAAGATTTTCTTAATATAAACGTGCTATGTTCTGTCTCAGTAGCCAGCATCCCTTGTCATGTGAAATTCTAGAGGCGTTCTTACTAAACTCAAGAAGAAAAGAAGGTACTTTCTGTAATGCTATGTAACAATACTAGAAGTTACGATGGGAATAAACAGACAACAAAAAGTGATCCTATGTAAAAACGGTAAAACAGTACAAAACAACAAAAAAAAATAACAGACACTAGATCAGGCCGACAGGCTTGTGGAGTGACAAAATAGAGTGGCTACATGGTAGGATGAATATGTAAATAGCAGTAACATACAAAATCGAAGGCACAGATTTGAACTTTCTCCTAAGAAGCGTTTGTTGGCCCTGACTGCACACTGATGTTACCTGGAAGCTTTAAAGGGAGATGCAGGAGCGTGGCTCTCACGTGATGATTCATTCTGCACCTCTGGGGGTGGAGGCGGGTGCCACTGTTGGTCCACAGCCCAGGTGATTCCGACGGCCAGCAGCAGTTAGTGGCACTCCTGCAGGTAATGGATGTCCCAGCCAGATACTAAAACATCCCACAGAGCACAGTCATTTCAACAGAATGGAACCTGTGCAGCCAGCGTGGAAAATGGCTGAGTAAACAGGGTGTTGGTGCCATTCCTGCTTCAATGATGGGATCAACTACTGAGGGTTTCTGTTTATTTACCTAGGCATTGAAGCAAAGAAACATCTGTTAGCCTGACCGGAAGGAGTGAGATAAGACCTTTGACCTTTGACCAAACTAGATGCAGATGAGCTTAAGACAGGGACCTGTCTGGTTGGCTATGGGGGTTTTCATCGCCTCAGTAGCCAGATGCCAGGGTGGCTTCCCGGGGGGCTACTCGCGCCAGATGCTGCCTCGCTCTGGGGCAGGCCCCTCGGTCTTCAGCAGTGTCTGACTTGCCATAGAAAAGGTCACGGGATGCTCCTTTTTCCTCTTTTAGGGTGAAATAGTTAAGAAGTACACGCAGTTCAATCCCAAAACCTATGAAGAGAGGATTCACTTAATCCTGCAGATGTGTGTGGAAGCAGCGGCAGAAGCTGTCAAGCTGAACTGCAGGATTCTGGGAGTAGGTGAGATTGTGAATCCTAGGTGCAAGCGCGCCCATCTCCACACAAAGTGTACTAAGTGCTGATGCAAGACTGAACATCACGCCAGCATTGGCCCTGTGTACACACGGCTCCAGGTCCTGTGTGTGGGCCCAGTGTGGGGACTGCCTGCAACAGCACCAGGCGTCGAGAGGGTCAGCACTAGTGCTGTAAGCCTTCCATCAGAACTGCCTCATAGTCCCTGCAGCCCTTGGGGGGTCTTCGCCGTAGGAGATTTTGAGTGAATTGATCTGTGTTCTGAGCCAAGAGTCAGCACATATCTTGCAATTGCTAACCACAGTTACTGTCCTTGGATTTGTGGTGGCCTTAGGTATTTCCACTGGAGGCCGTGTAAACCCTCGGGAAGGAGTTGTGCTCCACTCAACAAAGCTGATCCAAGAGTGGAACTCCGTGGACCTCAGGACCCCCCTGTCGGACACGCTGCATCTCCCCGTGTGGGTGGACAATGATGGCAACTGTGCAGCCCTGGCCGAAAGGAAGTTTGGCCAAGGAAAGGGGCTGGAGAACTTCGTGACACTCGTCACAGGCACAGGTACGGGGAGCTGGAGGAGGCCACTTCAGGAGCAAGGGTGGGGATTGGGGTAAGTTGGGCCTTCCTGTAGCGGCTTAGGATTTGCTGCTGGAAAAACACTGACGTGTATCTGTCTCTGAGGGAGATGTCCAGACTGGTAAGGAGTCCAGGCTGTGAAGAAAGGTGAACTGAAGCATGAATCCCAAGTTCAGCTCTGCCACTGACCTCTCCCATGGCTTTGGGACCATTTTAAAATGTACAGTTCACTGCTTTTTAGTATCTTCACAATGTTGTACAGCCATCATCAGCATTTCAGGATATTTTCATTCACCAAAAGCAAACCCGCTATCTGTTAAGCAGTTAATTCCACTTCTTCCTTCTTGCATCCCCAGCACCACTAACGCTGCTATGCTTGATGGCGTCCCATAGGTCTCCTAGGCTCTGTGCAGATTTCTTTATTCCTTCTTTCTGGTCCTGAGACGAGCTACTCTCAGAGGACCTCTCTGAAGCTTGCACATTGTTTTTCTCTGTTTGCTCAGATCTAGTAGTGAGTCCCTCCAGTGGGAAAGGACACTGATTCCTGTTTATATAGTTACTATAAATTTCAACCCCAGAATTTCTCTTTGCTTCCTTTTTGTACTCACCCCCTCTTCACTGATACTGTCGATTTGTGTGTCAAATAGAGAACAAGGTTCCCTCAGCCCACTGCTGTTCTCATGGTTTCCTCTGGTCCTTTTGTTCTTTAGTTCTTTCCTTTCACCCTAAGTTCACTGGGCTCCTCTGGCTCTTTGAGCATATTTAGAATCCTCGATTTAAAGTCTTTGTCCAGTGAGGCCAACGTTAGGGTTCATCCGTGTTCTGGCATGGATCAGAAATTCTTCTCTCTTTATGGCTGATTAACAGTCTACTGTATGTATAGGTCACCTTTGGTGTATCTGTTTATCTGCTGATGGATATGTGCATTGTTTCCACCTTTTCACTACTGCGAATAGTGCTACAGTGAACACTGGTGTAAAGTGTGTCTGTGTCCCTGTGCCCCCTGGGTACTCTCCTCAGTGCTGAGCATCCAGAGAGGTGGGATAAACGCAACCCGTGGGGGCCAGTCCTCCAGGGAACCAGCCGACAGGTGCCCCAGCCAACCACAGTTCTTTAGTGAAGGAGGTCCGTTCTGCTCCCATGGCCTGCGATTTGCTGTTGGTGTATTGAGGGCGGGCCACGGATGTATCGAGGCCTGTGCTCCAGGCCTGGCCTTGTGCCAGTACCCTGGGAGCCACAGAGTGCTCTTGTCGAAGGGTTTTTTCTTGTGATAAGCTTTTGGCTGCTGTTCACTTTTGAAAACACTGATTCTGATGGATTTTGCGTTTATTTGTTGTTCGTGAAGCAACAGACTTTTGTAATGCTCCACTCCACCATTTTCTCTGACCTCCCCGTTTGCTTTTTAAATGCAACAGAAGTAGCCCTGGTGGTACAATGGTGAAGTGCTCGGCTGTAACCCAAAGATTAGCAGTTCAAACCTCCCAGCCGCTCTGCCACTCCGTGGGGAGAAAAGGCCTGGCGACCTGCCCCTGCAAACAGTACAGCCGAGGAGAGTCTACGGGGCAGTTCTGGTCTGTCCAGTAGGGTCGCTGTGAGTCGGAATCAGCAGCACACCATAGCACCTCCTCTGCATAGACTTGAGTGGTCACTGGCTCCTCTAGAAAAGCTTTCACTAACCTCCAAACCTCCAAACAAGGAAGCAGATGCAGCTAGAGACTGGTTGAACCAGACTTTGATCCCAGACATGTCTAACATCCAAACTTGTGTGCTCGTAAATTCTACTTCATGCTTCTGTTTTAAGCTCATACACCTCCACTTTCAGTCTTGAATCCAAAAAAAAACAAAACAAAAACTCAGAACAACCCACTGCCATCAATCAACTTGATTCCAGTGGTAATTTTTATGGAAGCAGACTGCCTCATCTTTCTCCCCTGGAGAGGCTGGTGGGTTTGAACCACCAACCTTTTGGTTGGCAGCAGAATGCTTTAACACACCATTTAATGCACCACCACGTCCTAGCTTAGAGCAATTAGTCAGCTGCACATTAGAGGGATGGAAATTAATGAATAGACACGACGAGAACAATTTAAAAAGCAGGGCTTGCTGGGGCGAGAATGTTCTTAGTAACTTCTGTTCAGTACCTCCAGAGCACCACTGTAACCGAAGACGGTCATTTCCCCAAACACAGAGCCCAAGACAAAGATCTGGAGACGGGCACTCTATCTTGGAGACAGTCCTGAGAAGCAGGAGTGAGGGAAGGAGGAGAGTGAAACACAACAGGATGGAAGCCGTTCAGGGACCATTAGAGAAGGGACTTGCAGGGGCAGTGTGGGGGCTGGCAGCTGTGGACCCTCCCGTGAAGCCTTCAGAACGCATCCAGGACTGTTCACCTGTAGCCACTGGTTCCTGTCCCTCCTTGATTGAGGGTTGCCTCGGGCCTTTGGAGAAGCCTTGGTGCAGAAAGCAGAGTGGACGGGCAGTGTGGGCCAGAGGCGGGAGCTGCTCAGCCAGGCTGAGTCCCAGTTGCACGGAACTGCCTGCATAGACGCGGCTGGAATCCGTGCCCCAGGCCAGTGCGACACAGGGCACAGGGAGCTGCTGGAGAGTTTCCGCTCAGTTCCTCAGCTGAAGGTAGTTGACTTAGGAAGCGTCACTGTTGAGCAGGATGGGCGTTGCAGAATCTCACGCCCGAGAGCAGCATGTCCATCCCAGGTGAGGAGCCGTCTCAGCCGTCTTCTCTCTCCTGTAGGAATCGGCGGTGGCATCATCCATCAGCATGAACTGATCCACGGAAGCTCCTTCTGCGCTGCCGAGCTTGGCCACCTCGTTGTGTCTCTGGACGGGCCCGACTGCTCATGTGGGAGCCACGGGTGCATTGAGGCCTACGCCTCGGGGATGGCTTTGCAGAGGGAGGCGAAGCAGCTGCACGATGGTTAGCTTGTTTCCTCAGCAGTTAAATCCCAGAAAGAGCTCTGACTTCCTGAAGGAAGAGCTGGGCTCTACACTGGCTCTCCACAGTGCCCTTGAACTTGACCTGTATAATACTCCTCCTTCCAGGGGTGGAGGTGGACAGGGGTCTTGACCTCTAACACAGTGGGGATGATTTCTTCATCTTTGTTTTCTTGGCCTCTTACACAGGGTAGGTACTTAGTACACATTTGAAAGAAGCAATAAATGGGTGGATGTGTGTTAATTTTTGAACCCTGAGAGCTATCTGAATTAAAGCCATTAATAGACATGTTATGAAAGTCAGCATGGTTTCTGGTTTACCACGAGAGAGTCAGTTAATGTCATACTAATAAAGTGTGACCAGTGTGGTGACCGAATGTAGTGCATGCAGGGACACCTGTGGTTCCTCCCTCCCCTCTCCCTACAAACACGGGGGTGTTGAGGTCCTGTCCTGGGGGCGGAGTCAGAGGAGAAGTAGACTCAACCAGACAGGTGTGGGTACTCAGGGCTCTTCAGTAGTGTGGGGGCGTTCAGGGCAAGGCAGAGTGCAGTGCCGCGAGAGGCAGTCCAGGGGCAGCAGGTGAGGGAGGAGTCGCTGGAAACTGAGGAGAGACGTGCCAGACCTGGATGGTGGTCCTGCACTAAACTGTAACTTCTGGGTGGCTTTGAGTGGGCCAGTTCGAAAGTGACTTTCCGGTTGGACATGGTGGATTTGGGAATGTAAGAGAGGAACAGGTGTAGTGGAAGATGATGGCCGGGATGCCTGTGGGACATCCGGGGGGAAATGCCTAGGAGGCGGCTAGATACAGGGCTGTCGCTCAGGAGAGGACGGGCCTGGAGACGGGCAGTTGGGGATTGTCGGCATCTAGGTGTGAGTTCAACCTGTGACTGAGATGCAGGGCACGGGTCAGAGGACCAAGAGGGTGAGCTTCTGAGGAACATCGGCACCTGAGGGGCCTAGAGGAAGAGGTGAGGAAGATCAGAAAAGGAGGATGGCGCACAGGCCAGAAGAGGACCCTAAGAGGGGTCCTCCGTCGTATCAAGTGCTGCCATTGAGAGAAAGTCCGAGCTCACTGGACGGGGCCACAGCCCAGCTCTGAGGCCCTTACACAGGATTGGTGGCCCTGGTCTTCATTACCACCCCTAAGCAGTCTGTCTTCCCTAATCGCCCCTCTGTAAAATGTTGATACCACAGAGATGCCATTTATGAATGTGTGTCAGTGTTTTATACAGACGAAGAGTAAGGTTTTTGGCCCCCTGGGGGTGAATTCAAGTCTCCCCGCAGTTCTGTCGGTCCGCGGGAGCAGAGCTGCCCATGCGCCCTAGTACACAGAAGGGCTTCCCTCTCCACCGCGGGCGTGGGCATAAAGGCTCAGACTGCAGGAGACAGGTGTACAGCATACGGTCCCTGAATAGGTGGGAAGACCGGAGCTCCATGGTTCAGGCAGACGGGCTTATCCTGTGCAAGAGAGGGAGCGGGGCAGGGAGACAACAGGTACAGGCAGCAAGGACAGGTCAGGAAAGCACGGGGACTCCTGAGAGATCACAAGGAAGCTTTTGGTGCTGGTGTTGGTTGAGGGGAGGTTTAGGTCCACGGAGGTGGGGAAGGTTTAGAAGAGCAATGAGAGAGACTGGCAGAACTGAACTGGCCAGGGCCCAGGGAAGATAAGAGACCTCCAGTTGGTGTCTAGGTAGCAGTCTGTGTGATGGGGCTTTTCTCCCACCAGAGCCCACGTGTAACCGCAGGTTAGGAAGGTGGATTGACCTGGGTTGGTGACTGGCAGAGGAAGGGTGACAGAAAGACCAGGACTACAGCTAATGGTTTACCGAGCATTTCACCACGTGCTTTACCGCTTCAATCTCCTTTAATCTTTACACTAATCCTGCAGGGGCACTGTGACCCCAACTGACAGGAATGGGCAATGCAGAGTTCAGTGACACGGGCAGGGTCATGCAGTGAGTAGTGGCGGAGCTGGGGACTGAACCCAGGTCTGTGTGGGCCGTCCTCAGCTGCTGAGCCACGCTGTACAGGATGCGAGGCACTCGCAGGAGCAGCAGCTCGGCACCGGGTGGGTAGGGGAGGAGGTCAGCGCGCTGGAGTCTGCTAAGTGGGAGGAGGGGAGGGGCGGAAGAGTCCTTCAAGGAGTGTTTGCCATCCTGGGAGTGAACGCAGGGCCAGAGTGGGATGAGGCTGTGGTCAGAGAGGGGACTTGAGTTGGGGAGTGCCGAGTGGCCCGTCGGCAGGGAGCAGAAGCCTGCCAGGCGCTGCCCGCAGCTCACTAACGGCGCCTTCTCCCCCTCCTGGAACAGAAGACCTGCTGCTGGTGGAAGGGATGTCGGTGCCCAAAGACGAAGCTGTGGGTGCACTCCATCTCATCCAGGCTGCAAAACTCGGCAACGCCAAGGCCCAGAGCATCTTACGAACCGGTGAGCGCGGAGCTCAGCACAGCTCTGGCACAGCGGCGGCCTCAGCCGGCAGGCTGGCGGTGCTCTCCCGGCTTGCTCAGCGGGATCCCGGTCACGGGGCAGAGAGGCGCATGCATCCGTGGCGTTTGCCAGCACTGCCTTCTGAACAGGGTTTTCATTTCCCACCACCGTGAAGGTAACATTTGTCCATTCAAGAGATGTTAAGAGGGTGGTAACAGAGTCTTACTGTTTGCTCGAGGATGTTCACTAGTGACGTTACCCTCTGGTCCTTCGAGCCATGTTTTTTTCCTACATAGTTGAGTCCGTGTGGTGTATTTTACACGCTGCTTCTTGCACTCCACAGTGTAGCATGCTTATTCGCACATACTGAGATTCAGTCCTGCTTGCTGTTGCCTACCCTGGGTGGACGCTGGGACCAACCTAGCTGCTGGCTCGCTCCCACCTTGTGTTCGGTGGTTTTGACCTGGCCTCTCCCCTAAGCTGCTTTTCTGTTTTCCTGTAGCTGGAACGGCTCTGGGTCTGGGGGTGGTGAACATCCTGCACACCATGAACCCCTCCCTCGTGATCCTCTCTGGAGTCCTGGCCACTCACTACATCCACACCGTCAAAGATGTCATCCGCCAGCAAGCCCTGCCCTCAGTTCAGGACGTGGACGTGGTGGTTTCGGACTTGGTGGACCCTGCCTTGCTTGGTGCTGCCAGCATGGTCCTGGACTACACGACTCGCAGGATCTACTAGGCCTCCCTGCGGTGGACACGGACCATGCCTCCAGAGCTACGGAGTGAAGTCAAGCTCTTATCTTGATGATGAGCAATTTTTTTTTTTTTTTTCCTAAAAGCAGGTGACTCTGGCAGAGAAGTGGGCATTTTAATTTTTGTCCCCTCTTCCAAAGTCACCCTCCAGCCTCTGTTTGGTAGATGCCGCTCTGTTTCCTAACAGAAGTCATTTCAGTGCAAACCCCGTAAGTATCAGTTACAGTTCTCGGCCAGAAAGAGGTGCTGCGCAGACGCTTCCTGGACATCCCTCTTGGCCCCGCAGGCCTTCCTCACAGTGGAAGTGAGACACGAGAGTCTGAATCAGTAATTCCTCCTCTCTAACTCCAAACCCAGGTCACGCACAGAGATCTAGTCAGGGCACAGAAGGAACTCTTATCGTGAAATTTAATTTTTTAAACCACAGCTTTAGTGAGCTGTTCTCAAGGGTAAAGTACGCTAAGCTTGGGCATACGTATGCATGCCTGTGGAAGCTTCGGACATGTCTGCCGGCCCAGATGGTACCTGCTGCTACTGCAGCAGAATGTGTAGACAGTAGACCAGGGGTCTGAATTATCATGGCCTGGGTGACCTTGTTACCTTAGGCCCAGACTCTGAAGGGATTAACTGTCCCAAAGGATCTTTGCTACAGATGGCTCTCCCTCCAGTAGCTTTCTTTCCATAGTATGTGGGAGATGAGCCGTGACCGCCTGTTACGGCGGGAGGTGTATGTGTGTGTGAATGTGTGTGTGTGTGGGGAGAGAGAGGGGGGGGGGGGGGGAGAGAGGAAACATCAGCATCTACCTCCGTGAATGTGGACGGTGCGTGTGCGTGTGCGTGGTGCATGCATGTGACATCAGCGTCCACCTCAGTGACTCTGGATTTGGACTAACCAAGCTTCCGTGCTTTCGTTGGTGTCAAAATACAAAAACCAAGGCCAGGAGGCTCTTGGTGGTGGCAGCCTGGAAGGAGTGTGACTCGCCACCGTTTACTGTGTGCTGGGCTCTGGGCTAGGTGCTTCCTATACAGCACCCTCGGTTCTCACAACCGGCAGGTGGATATTCCAACTCTCACTTTAGAGACAAACACGAAGGCCCACTAAGTTTCAGTGATGTGCCTTGAGCTGTGTGGCTAGTGAGGATTAGGGACAGGGCTTCTTGACCCCAGGCCCATCTGCTTTCTCTGCTCAGTCACCCAAGCTCACATTTTCTGAGTGAGGTTCAGAATGCAAACACACCCTCATGTACTGCAGACCACCAAAAGCTGACTTGCAGATAACCTGATGTATCCTTGTCTTCTTCCGCAATTGTGAATTCATGCAAATTTTGCCAGCCATACTATTTGGTCTAGAAACGTGACAGGGCCTCGTGGGTGCTTGTAGATGATCTGAAAGGCCGTGTGTGTGCGTCCACTGTTATCTTAAAAACCTGAGGGTCTCTGCAGCATCCTCACTGTTAACGTGTAAAAGAAACGGAAAGACTTGAGAGCCCAGCTGAGCGGACTTCCCTCCTGGTGGGTCAGTATGAAAAACAGGATGGCAGATTGTAGAACGCTACCAGCCCTTAGAAACCACCTCCAGGCCCTGGTTACTCCTGAAACATTCCACGGGGACTCCTGCAGGAAGGCCGTCCTCAGCCCTCAGCGTCTGGCACGGAAGAGCGGGGCTGCCGTGAAGGGCCCGTGACTCCTTGCTGTGACCAACAGCCGCTCTGTAGGCCAGACAGTGGCACCGCTGCTGCGTTTCACACCGGTGTCCATCCTGAATCAAATGCCAAATCTTAGTTTTTATTAAATTCATGGGAAGCTAATGTATTTGGATGTAAATTTTTACACATGGTTAAATAATCACATTAAGTTAAAATCTTAATTTATTTGAATATAAGTATGTGAATGATCTGAGCTAAATTCTAAAGAAAAAAATAAATTTCTTTGTGGGAATCCTAGTACTGTTGGGTGGTGTTCTGCTCTTACGTTAACTCACTCTCTCAAAGCACTTCCCTTCCCAGGGGTTTCTAGGGCATGCAGCTGACCTCGTGGAGGTCACAGGGCTTCTTGAAGACACTTGAGTAGCATCAGTTTCTTAACCAAAAACTGTCTTTGACTGATACATGGAAAGCATTGTTACGTAACACTTAAAATTGGACACACACAGCAAAGTGGCCCCAAGAAGGGTTGGAGACCCAGCGTCGCGCCACCACACAGTCCCTGGGCCATTGCCCTCTGCGTGTCTCGTGGATGATACGCCTGTGGGAGACAAGCTGAAGTTACGACTATTACATGACAAACTGTCTCACAACTCAGATGCTTAGTGGCAATTCTGCGGGTCAGGAGTTCCGGAAGGTGCCTCTGGCAGTTGTGGCTCGGGGTGTCTCGTGCGTCTGCAGTCGACGTCTGGAGCCCGCTCAGCGGGAGGCTAGAATGCGAGGGACTGGCAGGCCTCTGTCTGCATGTGGCTTCTGGGCCCCTCCAGGTGGTCTCCACACAGGCCAGCGTGGGCTTCTTCACAGCTTGGTGGCTTGAGAGTGGAAGAGCCTTTCATACGGCGGCCCAGTGCTACCAGCAAGTGGTCTGGCAGACCAGCCGTGAGCAGCACTGCGTTTTACGACCTCGCCTCCCAAGTCACACAGCATCGCTTTCCTCACGCTGTCCAGTCACCTCCTCTGGGGAATGTCAATGACTTCGTTCACATTTTCAAACTGCCCTGTCCATCCTCAGAAGCCCATCTGATGTCGGAGGTAAGACGGATCCAGGCACCACAAGACTATACCAGGATCCACAGGGTCATGGGAGTTCAGGGACTGAGGGGAGTAAGGAAAGGCATTGTCAAAGTGGCCTTGGAGCTAGTTCTTGAAACGGTATTTGACATGTATCTGGTAGGAAATGAGAATAACGTTGGCGAGGCTCCAGAGAAACAAATGTCCCGGGAACAGCAGCATGTTTGACTGCACTGGGTGGGTAAAGGGGAAGAATGGGCAAAGAGGCAGAAGATGTGGGCCAGACGAAGAAATGTTCAACCGAGGAGGAGGAGGAAGGTAACAGAGGGCTCCCCCCCCCGACTAAACGAGACCGGCACAGAGGAGATGGTGGCCTTTCCTTCCTGGCAATAGCAAGAGTAACTCGACCTGAGAGTGGTATTACAGGAGCTGACATCAGTCCCCAACCTGGAAATACTATCAGGTGACTATGAGCAGATCAAGAAGCCCTGGTGGCACAATTGTTAAGCACTTGACTGCTAACCAAAAGATCGGTGGTTCAAACCTACCAGTTGCTCTTTGGGATCAAAGGCCTGGTGACCTGCTCCCGTAGATTTCAACCTAGGAAACCCTATGGAGCAGTTCTTCGCTGCCTGTAGGGTTGCTAAGCTACAGCATCCACACCCATGGAAGCAGCAGTCAGGAAATCAGACACTGTACTGCTCTGGGAAAATCTGCAAAAGACCTTTTCAAAGTGCTGAAGAGAAAAGATGTCTCGTTGAAGATGAAGGTGTGCCTAACCCAAGCCATGGTGTTTTCAAACACCTCGTATGCACTTGAGAGCTGGACAATGAATAAGGAAGACTAAAGAAGAGTTGATGCTTTTGAATTGTGGTATTGGCAAAGAATACTGAAACTGGCAAAAGAACAAATCTGTCACGGAAGAAGTGCAGCCAGAATGCTCCTTGGAAGTGAGAATGGCCAGACTGTCTCACCTACTTCAGTCATATTGTCAGTAGAGACCATTCCCCTGGAGAAGAGTATCGTACTTGGTAAAGTGGAGGGTGAGCAAAAAAGGGAAGACCCTCAACAAGATGGACTGACACGATGGGCTCACGTATCGGGAGGATTGTGAGGATGGTGCAGGCCTGGGCAGTTTCGTTGTCATACGTAAGGTCACGATGAGTCCAAGTTGACTCAATGGCACCTAACAACAACATGAGTCGAAATCAACTCAACAGCACATACATAAGTAGATCACTCAAATAAGATATTAAATGCTTAAATTATCACCTAGGATGTGTCGGGTACCATGCCGGGTTCTGTGGGTAGATAATGCATTGAGACCGAATGGCATCTGGTGTGTAGGTCGGTACACTCCAACAGAACATCCTGTGATGACGGAAACGTCTGACCTGTGTGATCCACTCTGGATGTCAGCTGACCACCTGTGGCTATGTTGTTGTTGTTATGTGCCGTCGAGTCAGCCCTGACTCATAGCGACCCCTCCTTGGGTTTCCGAGGCAGTATCACTACGGAAGTAGGATTGCCCATATGTAATGTGACTAGGGCTGGAAATGTATTTTTAATATCACACTGAAGCAAGTCACGTGCCAGTGGCTACTGTATCAGACAGCATACGTCTAGATGTAGGATTTCACAAAAGAAATATTAACCAAGCGCTAGGGATGGCGCAGACCCCACACACGCTAAGGGAATCCAGCGTAATGGGGCTGGCCACACACCAGTGCCCTCCTGACTCAGGTCTACCAGCTGAATGCAAAGGAATAAAGGTCTTCAAGTCTGCATGTCCCAGAGAGCCCCCTGCTGAAACCTAGGACCCATGCCCCTCCAGAAGAAAAGGACCCACAGCAGGGGACTAGGGTATTCACAGCTACGTATTGAGAGGCACCACCTTTTCTGATGAAATATCCACAGAATCCTACCAAGGGAAACAGAAGATGGGGCAGTTTCAGTTCAGGGTGGGAGCCCAAAGGCCATGCACCTTGGCTCCAGAACCGACAAAGTTCTTCCTTTCAGACCTCACTCCAAAGTGCCAACACCCTGAGGTCAATAAAGCAACTCTGTGTTTATTGTTTGAACAGAAATTTATTCAGAATAATGCAGAAAAGCACAGGTGAGACGACTGCCGGGAGGTCCCCTGCCTTCCTCTCCCCCTCCGAGTGCAGGGAGAACCCCGTTGAAGGAAACATGCAATCACGAACAATGATCAACTCTAAAGACAAAAGGTTTGGTCCAAAAGAACTCAACATAATTAATCCAATGACTCTGAAGGGGTCACCGAGTGGGATCAAGATATTGCAGATGTAGTGTTTCCACTGGGCGGCTCTTCAGTGCACCAGGGGGGCCTGCTTGAGGGAGAGGAGGACCGAGCGCATGCGGGAGACGTCTCTGGTCTGCTTGCTGGACTTGGGGTTAAAGTCACACAGCCGGACCACCCGTTCCCACTCAGTGCCTGGGGAGGACTCGTCAATGTCGTTTACAAAGGCCTCTTCTGCTGCCCTGGAAGCAACAACACAGCCTGTTGGTTTAATGTGGACCTGTGTGAGCTACCTGGCCACCTGGTTACAAACATGCCTGCCTCTTCACGCCTGACTTAGTGGCACTCTGGTTTTGCAAAGAGTAACAGCCTCTGGCCCAAGTAAGACTTGGGCTGGACACACGGCCAGCTCTCCTAAGCACAACTGTGCCCGGCCTGCTGTGTAAAATGTTGGAATACAGGTGTTTGGTTCAGGGCTCATTCTCTCTGCCCATAAAGAGTGATTAAAAAAAACAAAAAGCAAGTTCTTGGCCAGCTATGCCCGGCTTTAGTTAACAAGAACAAGTAGCAGGCTAGTCAGGAACCTGGACGGTGGTCTCTACTGGGCTGTCCTGAGGTTTGGGTAAACTTAAGGGACTGCTGAAGAACCCAGGGGTCAGTGCAAACCAGGCTGTGGCTTCAGTTCTAAGGCTGGAGAGAAACAGGGCGGATCAAAAGGAGTCCGAGACAGCCCCCATGCTAGCAGGCAACAGAGCGACAGCCATTCTGACGAGGGCTCGTTAGCACTCTCTGGCACAGCCAGGTGTCCTGGGCCACTCCCGCCACACGCAGGCAGGAACCGAGGCTGCTGCTTTTGGCCAGATGCCGCTCCAACACGCTCTGACATCAGTGCCAGCCCCGCAGATGGGGACGGACTGGTGGTGGCGAGAGGCGGGGAGACACACTAGACTCATCTACTCCGACAAGCATCACGGGCAGAGCACAAGCGATGGAGATGACTGGTCTGGGGAGGGAGGGGCACTCTCACAGGGATGGCCGTGGCACACACCGCTGAAGCCAGAGCGCTACGACACGGCGACTTCATGGCACACACAGTGAGGGGCAGCGAGAAAGGTGTACTTAACTGTTCTAGGCTGTAGCAAGGATGGTTTATGTTTGTGCTTAAGGTGAAGAGAAGAAACAAGGAGAGAGACTTTAGGTCAGATACAGGAAATGAGAATGAACCCGATGCAGATGGTCCGTCAGCTAGACATGCCCTGGCCACGCCGGCTGCGCTCGGGGACGTGCAGCTGGCTTTGCGGGGCTACCCTGCTGCCCAGCAAACCCAGACCTGGCCTTTCCAGTCTCCGTTTCTGCTCCAGAGAGCACGTGCACACATCTGTCAACCACCACCTGTACGTCCAGCATTTCACGAGGCTCCCCGCCCACACCCAGCTGTCTCCTAACGGGACGACCATCCCCAGGGAGCTGCCCAGACCTCAGTGTACTGCCCACCCTCCCCACAGGCTCTCCTCCCTCGGCCCCATGGACCTCACAGAGGCCGGCCCTGTTCTCTAAGGAAAAACACTGAGGACTGTTTCCAAGTTTTTAGCAGTACTGCTTTGAAATCAGAAATCCTTAAAAAAAAAAAAGTTTGATTTCAGATCGTGAATATGCAGTTTTCTTGGGAGGGAAGGGAGCAAGGAGCAGAAATGGCCGGTGTCTGTCAGCTCTGACCCCCTGACCTCAACACTTAAGGGCCCTTTGTGTTTGCATCGGGGACAGGGACTGGAAGCTGGCCACCAACCAACCATTTCCCACAATTAAGCCCAGAGACCAATTACAGGTGGCCAGGAGGGCTGCCTCTCTCTACTCAGGACTCCTTGGCCCCAGTGGAGAAGGAGCTAAGTACAGAAAAGGCTGTCCCCAAAGCTGCCTTTGGAAATGCAAGTGCCACCAGTCCCTGCTCCTGACTCCAGGATTGTCACCACCTCCCAGGAAGATGTCTGTTTCCTGTCTAGGGGCAGGGAGGCACCAGGCACTGGGGCCAGCAGAGGCCAAAAGGAAGAAGAACCCCCCCAAGCCCCGAGCCCTTCCCAGACCAGGTCTGAAGGACTCCCCTTAAAGGGAGGCATCAGTCTTCCCTCCCAAACCCTGACTATGAAACAGGTCGTCAAGGGTGCAGCAAGACCTGTGCCCATCACTTGACCATCTCCCAGCTAATAACTCTCAGGAGCCCCACAGACCAGTGTGAAATCGTTTAAAAAGCAAAGCAACTTGTGACATAAAAGGAGCATTAACTCTAAACAAAAAAATAGGAAGACTTAGAACGAAAGGAATTAGTTTGGCAACATACACATAACCAATCACGTCAGCGAAGGGTTGTTTGTAGAATGCGTCATCTGCCACCCTAGACAGCGAGCGGTCCGGAAGGCAGGCAGGCAGGCGGGAGAAAAGAGAGAGCATTGAGAAGCAGAGACAGCTAAGACCCACAGCAGGGGAATGGCTCCCAAGGCCCCTTCGTAGCCCAGCGAGACTTCCAGGCCCAGGGACCCGCACCAGGCCTGGGCCTCCAGCCATGGAGACCGGCACCAGGTCCAGGCCTCCAGCCCCAGAGACCCATAGCAGCCAGGCTCAGGGCTCTGACCCTGCTCAGCATTCTGCAGAACGTTGCTGCCCCTTCCACCCTCTGGCCGTTTCACCCCAGCGACAATAGCGTTTATTAAGCACCCAGTTACGGGCTAAGCTGTTTCACGTACATCATGGAGAATGTCCTCAACCCTAACGACCCTACGACATTGAGCGTCATCACCTGCACTTACAAAGGAGGTAACTGAGTCAGCCACCCAGCAGGAGCACCAAGGCTCACCACCAGGGCTGCCTGGCTCCAGGCCCAGCCCTGTCTCCCGTACATGAGGGCTCTTGCCCAAGTAGCATGTTCACACCACCGTCCTGCTGGCCTCGGGAAAGACCACTGGGTGGGAATGCCGTCAACACGACGCCCCCGTGCACTCTCTGATCATCTAACTACACTTCCCGTCACTGGCTGGGCAGGAACACCCTTCAACATCCTGGCAACACATCGGTCCCTCAGAGAACAAAGCAGCTGGAGCAGCTTCTGGGTATTTGCAGGCCACCCTGACCGGCTTGGACAAGGCACAGCCCAGAGGCCAGCCCATCACCCCTCAACTCTCCCTCAGATCAGGAAGGGGGTCGACAGGCCTCTCCAGGACGAGGAGGAAAGGGCATCCTTCCCGGGTGGAGGAACCGACGCTGCGGGGTTAGGCTAGCTGGACCCCTGCTGCCCCAGGTGAAAGCCGTGGGCCCGGCCCGTCTGTCTGTCTGTCTACTGTGGCTGGGCAGAGCCTCCCTCAAGGGTCTGCCCCTGTCTTTGCAGGTCGGTCTGGGCCAGGGAGTGGAAGGGCCATTTCCTTCAGAATCTGCAGGCCTGTTCCTCACTCTAAGTGCAGTTTCTCTGCAGGCACCTTTAGTAACTCTCGGAGTTTCTTTTTAAGCTCACACACCCCTCCTTCTTTCCTACTGGTTTTACACAGAGGAGGGTTGGGTGGGAACATGAAGCACCGAGAGCAGCCTGGACTCAAGTGACTCGGCAGGAAGCCACAGACTTGTCTGTGGGCAGTGAGTGGGAGTGAAGGGCAGAACGCCTCGGAAGCCCGGTCTTTTCAGGTCACACACAAGGCTGAACCTCACTGATTTCCACTGGAGCCTGCTCCTTGTGGCAGAGAATGGAGGTTGAATGACTCCAGTCAAGGCTTCAGTAAGACGGCAGAAACGTGGCTGTCAGGCTCCCACTCCTCGGCAGCCAGCCCCAAGACTACAGAGCTCGTCAGTGACGAGCAGAATCTGCCAAGGTTACGGGCCCGGAACAGAGAGAATTATCCACATCAGATGGACAAGCCCCCCACCAGCTTTCTTCCCACCAGCAGACAGATGGGCCCGAAGCGGCAATCTTCAGCCAGGGCAGGAAGGGGCACAGGGAAGCCTGGGGGAGGGCGGGGGAAGGAGGGCAAGGAGGAGGAGTGCCTTCGGTCCTAACCACACGGCAAGCACAGGAGGCCTGAAGCCAACGCCCAGCCTTCCGTGAATAACCCACAGTGGGTGTGGAAAGAACTGCTCAGCATCCCTGAGAATCAAGTGTCCCACGAACTATTATGAGCTCTCAAGGGCCCAAGCAGAGCTGGTTCCTGTTAACAGGGGAAACAGCCACATGGTTCGAGAAGAAACAGGTTCTGGGGCTGAGCCTGTGACAGCCGACTCCCAATCCCAAGAAAAGGGATTCGTTCCCACAGGTTGTCACTTAATAATTCATGGCTCGTGTAGTGACATTTAGGGCCCAAAGGGATGAAAGGAGGGAAGGAGATGTAAACTGACACCAGACCCAACCGACAACAGACCCTGCAGAGGCCAGGCCGGTCTGCCTGCTGACTGCAATGTGCTCACCACCCAGGCAGGCCTGGGCGCAGACATGTGTCTGACACTCTGTGAGTTGACTGAGGCCTCAGGATGGCAGGCAGCCAAAGACACCCACAAAACCAGGCCCTTTCTACACCTAAGTCTTCTCTTTCCAACTTCTCTGCTTTTCTGCCTTTATTTCTGGTCCCTCCAACAACCAGCTGTTGAAGGAGTCATCTGGGAAGAATGGCACTTGCTGAAAGTGGGCACCCTGATTTTCTTCTCTAAAAATGTCCACTATTTACCTGCAGATGAGTAGTAATAATCATGAGTCACACTGTATACAGAAATGGCCCTTCTCCTTCGACTCCAAACCACGTTAGAGTCGAAACAGATGGGGGAGAACTGTCAGCAAGAGAAGGCCTCCAGGGAGGGCGGCCACCACTGGAGAGCCCCCCAGAGTGATTCTGAACAACTCCCATCCCTACCTGCTGATGAACTATCGGAATAAAAAGAGAAAGCCATCCCCTCTGCCCTGGTGACAATGGTGTGTGTGCCACCAGCTTCATGGACTCAGGGACGTCCCCAGGCTGCAAGGTCTCTGCAGGCAAGGGACCTGCTTTCATCTCAGCTCTTCCTTCTCAAGGTGTGGTGGGCAAGTCTCTTCCTCTACTGAACTTGAGAGGTTCATCTATGGGACCAACTCACCCAATCAAAGTTCTACAAGTGAAAAAAGGTACTAACCCTCATTGCCAAGGAGTTGATTGCAACTCAGAGACCAGCGACCTACAGGAGGGGCAGGACTGCCCACAGGGTTTCCCAGGCCGTAAATCTTTGCAAGGGCAGGTTGCCACATCTTTATCCCATCGCCCTTTCAGTTTGCAGCTGAGTGCTTAAGCACTGCACCAACAGGGCTCCTCCCAAGAAAGGTGCCCAAGCCACCATCAATGCCTTGAGGGACTCATCTCCCTTGCGGCTGAGCTCTTAGGAACAGGAGTGATTACTCCCTCCAAAGACAGTGACTGTGTACACAGGCAGGCCTTTCTCTGCAGAGGAAATACACTTCAGCAAAGCCGGCTGGAAAAGGTTTCTGCAAAGGGAAGCCTGTTCCCAATATCATTGTTCTTGTAAGTCTGGAAATCTTCATGCCAAGTTATATGAGCACAACAAACCCAGCAAAGGGAGGGTCAGCCCGGTCCCCAAGCAGCCCAGAGCAGCTTTCATCTGCCGAGGTGGCTCACTCAGGTGACGCCGCGGGGCATCGAGTGGCGCCTGCTCAGAGCACCCGCGTATCTTTCTTTCCTGACGAGACCTTGTGCTGGAGGAAACTCAGGTTGGGTGAACACGGGGTAAAGGAGCCAGGACCCGTCAGCGATTCTCTGAGGGAAGCGACTCGACAGTGGCCTCGTGCAGCTGAGCCACGGCAGCCGCCTCCACTGTCCTCGTGCACAACCACTTCAGACGGAACGGGACAGGCGCTCCTGGGGAGTGCACGCCCTGGAGGGAGTGGCCAGGACTGTTTGGGCCCAGCGCCTGAGGGTGACCAACGGGGAACCCAGCGGAAGGGCTGCCATCGGACAGTGTTCTGTGACAGCCGCCCCGCGATGGAACCTGGGGCTGCCAATCAGCTCCCTCTTTCTGGGCAGAGTCCCTTCTACTAGAGACAAGGGCACATGGCCCAGCCCTGCTTCCCTCTGCTCTGATGTTAGTGACAACTATTCCCAGGTCAAGTTCAGTCAGGCTGCCTTTCCACCGAAGCAACAGGACTATGAGTGACAGCTGGGCTCTGAGGCCAGCGAGGAAAGGAGGGTAAACTGTCTACACTGAGGTAAGCAACACTATCTTTCCTTTCTTGACGCTCCCTGCACGAGGGACCTAGTGGGAGGATTAAAGGCCACAGGTGCTGGTGCTAGCGACACATGACTGACTCTTTTTCCCCACAACTACTTGCCCCTCACGGGGAGTGAAACAACGTTATTTAAAGTAAACTCAGGATTTTCTCAGGCACAGATATACAGCCAGAGAAGTGTGTATTCTGAAGTTACTGTGTTGGCACATCCTTGCTCCTAACTACAAAGCACATTTCCCAGCCCGTGGACCCCTCACAAGGCAGCTTTCAGAGGGCAGCACAGTAGTTACGTGATGCGACGTGGCCAAGCCATCATCTTGAAAGAAATGGGATCCTGGGGTATCAGGAGAGCGTTACATTTCAGGGTTTTATTTTTACACATGGACTTAACCTACAGAGCAGTGTTCTCCCCTAGCGGCCTCTCTCCACAAGTGACACCCACTAACCTAAGTCTTAGTTCAGAGCTAAACTCACTCCAGGTGGAAAGGTCAAAAGACCGGCTGGGCCAGGCTCGAAGGCCCAAGGGAGAGTCCCAACCCTTATCTCAAGCTCTCGCTGGGGAACCTCCCCAGACATCTCACACTAAAGCGCAGCTGGAACTGGTGGGCCAGTGAAAGTGCATTTGACCTGACCCCGGACAGCAGGCTGTGTGGGACCCCGGGGCGCCGACCCGTCGCTCTCTGGTAGGACCCCTGCACTGACCCGTCGCTCTCTGGTAGGACCCCGCACTGACCCGTCGCTCTCTGGAGGGACCCTGCACTGACCTGTTGCTGGCTCGTGTCTTCTGAAGCTGCTCGTCCTGCCTGGCGTACCATTCTTCTAGCTCCTTGATTGCTTTTTCTTTCCACTCTGCTTCCTGCTTTCGAGAATTGGCATCTTTGAAGGGAAGGAAAGGAAGGCAACACCAATGAGGCAAAGTACAAACCTGAGCGAGTTTCATTAAATTTACGGTGGGTGGGGAGGGACACCAGACCACAATCAAGTCAGACACAAAACCACCGTATGGGGCAGTTGTACTGTCTTAAGAGGTCACTGAATGGAAGTACCCTGGGCTGCACCGAACAATAACAAAGACCAAGGACACCGAGGACTTCCCTCGTGTTTACTGCCATCTGTGTAGCTTCCTTGGGAAAATGGCTATTCAACTTCTCGGCCCATTTTTGATTGGGTTGTCTTTCTACGTTGAGTTATAACAGCTCTTATAAATTAAACCAAATTAAACCCTTATGAGATAAAAAAACAAATTATGGTGGGCATGTGTGTGTGTTGCAGGAAGGGGGGGACCGAGCAGCAAGGAAGGGGCAAGAATATCTTATCTCTTTCTCCATTTGTACAATCAATGAAGCTCACTCAGGGACCCTATTTCTTCATCTTCACGTCACGTTTTAGGCCAGTCTACAACAACACCCTAGCACACCACTGGTTATGTTTTGTATGGGTGCATGTTGGCAGAAGAAGGAAAATACCTACTGACTCTGAAAGAAAAAACGCCTTTTAGGGCAAAGGCAATTATGGGCGATTCTTCAATAATGCCGCCAGGATCAGAGCCCCTCCGGCCACCGTTTAACTCTTCTCACACAACACACTCTCCACCCAGGTCTGACAGTGGACGGCTGTCAGACGCAGGTGGGGCCCTTCTACGATGCAGCCGTGAGCTTCCACGGTGGTGCGACAGAGACCGTCAGAGCTGGTGAGGCTCCAAAACATTATCCAGACTGCACAGTGTGGCCGTGTCAGAGCCAGGGCACAAACACCGTCGGGGGGAGAACGGTGGGGCTGGCGGCAAGGCGGGGGTGGCCAGCAGTTAAACCAGAGGCTCTGGAACGAGGGTGAACACACCAGGCAGACAAGCCAGCTCGTGCTGGTTCTCAGCCAGCAAGACGGCAGTTGCCTCCCGACGATGCCACACTGATTTCTTGACCCACTCCTTATCCTGAAGGCTTCAGGCAAAGAGAAGGATTTTTTTCGGATGAAATATGGGTTTCCCTGAGGCAGTTAGCTGAGGGAACACATAAGCAGTACAGCGTGGGGGAGAGAGAGGTACAGGTCAGCCCTTAGAGCAGCTGAGCAGTCAAGTTAGCCTGGTACTTCACTTTACACATGTTCTTAGGGCTGTCCTCTCTGGCAGGTGTTTTACAGATGTTTCATTTAATCTTTACAGTAATCCCAAGAAGGTAAACTCCAGTCTCATTTCCGGAGTGAGAAAAACAGAAGCTCAGAAAAGTCAGACCTTCCCGAGGTGCTGATGAAGTCATGGCCACTTTCCCAAGGTTCTAATACAGTCAGAGTGACCTTCCCGAGGTTCTGATGAAGTCCCAGTGACCTTCCTGAGGTCCTCATGACGTCATGGCCACCTTCCCGAGGTTCTGATGAAGTCACAGCCACCTTCCCGAGGTTCTGAGAAGTGGCGGAGCAGAATTCAAACCCCCGGCTGACTCTGGAGCTCATTTTACTTCCTTCCTGAAGCTGCCTCCGAAGGAAGGGAAAGACAGACCACGCCTAGAATCTGACAGGATGCGCTGGAAGCAGTCACCAGCCAGAATTCAGAAGCGCAGTGCAGGAGGCCAGCCCGTGACCAACATGTCTGGAGAAGGAGCAGCAGCAGCAGTGCTGGTTCCAGTCGTCCCTCGCAGGGAAGACTGAGCTCTCCTGGGCACCTTGAGGGCCTCTGCAAGTCAAGGCTCGTAGTTTCAACCTGCAGAAGGCTCCACGTGTCACAACTGGAAACAGGTTAACAGTAGCCAGACCCCTCCCAAGTTTCAGATTACAGAAGGCTCGCTTGCACGCGCGCGCGCGCTCTCTCTCTCTCTCTCACACACACACACACACACACAGAGGCGTCTATCCTGCTACCCGCCTTCTCAGAAGGAGCCCTATCACTCAGAAAGGACCCATTTCACTCCGATCTTCCACTGACACAGCAGACTCCTGAGATGTGGGTCCATGGTGTCATGCACGTGAGCAGAACACCAGATGCTCTGAGGCCAGGCGAGGTGGTGTGGGGGCGACAGTGCCACAGGGACAGGGCCTGGAAAAGACCCAGTTTAAACTGTAACATCTTCCCAGCAGACCTTGCAAAGATCTTGGTGAAATTAAGTTCGAAGAATTCCTTTCTGACTGAGGAATGGCTTCTTTCACAGTATTCTAATACTCAAGATTTTTAATTATATCTGAAGAGGCCAAAACAGCATGGAGTCGCCTTCCATGAATTAAGTTAGAGCCATGGCCTCCTGCAGACTGTACTACTGCAGACAGCAATCTGGTTACATTGTCTTCTTGCATTCATAGGTCCCAGAAGAGCCCCTGGCAGTAAGAATTCCCAATGCGTAAGTGCGCAGTCTCCCAGAACGGAGACTCAAGCCACAATGTAACCTCTCTGGGGGTAGGAGGGAGAAGGGGACAGAAGAAGAAGCCCCTTAGGGAACAGGGCACACCACCAGTGGTCGTCTCTGGCCACCCTCAGAGAAGGCAGCTCGTGAGAAGGCTGACGTGGCTTTCACCCTAGTCCTCTAAATTTGAGCTCTCACGCTCTCTCCCAGCTCTTGCAAAAAGAAAAGGCGAAACTGAAGAAACACTTAGTTCATGGGCCAATGTAATTCAATGACATTAGGAGGGAGGGCTAAATGTCTGATTTACTTCAAGGCGTCCTGAGTCAAGAGAATATCGTGGAATACTCCTCAGGGGCCCAATTTGACCATTGAAAAAGCAAAGGCAGTGTTTTCAGACACCAAAGTATACACTCTTTACAGACAGAATAAACTGCTAAACTGGGAAAGAGAAAAGATGGGAGGTGTAAATGGCCGACCTTCAGCAGTTACTAATCCCTCTGAATCTCCCCTGAGCCCGCCCAGAAGACACACGCCAAGAACAGGCAAGGAGCGAGCCTGCAGCGCCCAGCACCCCATCCCGCTGCCGCCCTTCCACAGCTGCACCACCCAGTCCAGCAGCTAGTAGCCGCATGCGGCTGTTTACATGAAAATCAAATACAACCTCCAAGTCCGCTTCAAGTGTTGAGAGCAGGGCTTCAAACCAGTTCATTCTGGCTCAGCCCCCTGCTGAGAATTCTAACTTCTACCCCAGATTTACTGAGTAACAATCTACATG